CTCCGCTGCCTTCCCTGGGGTGTCTCGGGAGAGCGCACGGTTTCGGGGAGCTCGGGGCTGYCATTGGGGTGTCCCGGGGGTCTCAKCCCGGCGCCCCCTCCACAGGTCGCAGCATCGCCCCGAAGAAGCTCCGTGTGATCCAACAGCAGAAGCTGAAGAAGGTGAGGGGGGCGCGGCGGGGTTTGCGGGGTTCCCGGCGGGTCTGGGGGAGCCCCGGTTGTGCCTGTCTGACCCCGCCTCGCTCCCCCCAGCGCCTGGAGGTCGGGATCCGGATGCGGATCGAGCGGGAGACGGTGCAGCGAGCGCAGGGTGCTCTTCCCAAAAAGCTGGCCCTGGTCACAGCCCCCCCCGCCAAGGGCAAAGCCAAGAAGGGCCGGGGCTGAGCCCCCCTGGGGAACACCCCCYGAACCCCCCTCGAGACCTCCCCGAGGGTCTGGGGGAGTCCGGGCTGTTCCCAGCCCCACATCGTTGTTTAATAAAAGGGATTTGTGGGCGGGGGTCCTCCCGCATCCCCAGCGCTGGTGTCTGATTTAGGGGGGGCGACACTGCGGGGGAGGTTTTTGGGGAGGGGGCTTGGGACACTCCTGGAGATTTCGGGAGAGGGTTGGACATGGGTGTAGCCCCGAGATCGGGGTGGGCCCTGGGGTGTCCCGGGAGGGTTTTGGGGAGGATGTCTGTGTTTCTGGGGGGTGGGTCTGATGTTCGGGGGCGCTCCGAAGGGGTCAGGGGCTGTCCGCGAGGGGCGTCCTTTCATCCCTTGGGGACATCCCGATGTCCTCGGGGGTGTCTCCGGTTCCCCGGGGTGGGGGAGGCGTTTCCGTGGGGATCTTGGACTCTCTGGGCGATCCGGGTGCCTTCAAGGGGTTCTGGGGGTGGTCTTGGGGATTCTGTGGGTTCCTGGGGGGCTCTAAGGAGGCCCCAGTGCCCCTGGGGAGGCACTGCGGGGAGGTCTTGGTGTGTCTCGGGGGTCTCGGGGGTCCCGGTGTGTCTCGGGGGTCTCGGTGTGTCTCGGGGGTCCCGCTGTGTCTCGGGGGTCCCGGGGGGTCCCGCTGTGTCTCGGGAGTCCCGCTGTGTCTCGGGGGTCCCGCTGTGTTTTAGGGCTCAGGGGATTCCCGGGGGTCTCGTGGGAAATCTCGCCCCTCCCCCGAATTCCCGGCAGCGCGGCAATTTTATGAATGGACCGCCAGGCCCCGCCTCCTCCACCTGGCCCCGCCCCCGCCTCGCTCTGATTGGTGCGCTGC